TTTATGCATTATTATTTGTACATATGCCCAAAAGCAGTCAAAATGACTTCCTTGGGCAATCTAGTGTTAAGTATCATCCTCTTTCAAGTACTCTGATCGATAATAAAAGTAAAATCTGGAATTCCAGTATTTTTCCCATTTTCTGGACTGTAGTTACATATAATATTTATTCTCTTGTGATATTCATAAAATGGTCAGAGGTCAAAGTTTATTACATTTTATGAACATGTATCATTCTTTATTACATCACATATCACGACTGCAATTCTAAAAATGTTAAAAATGCAGTCTTCCCCTTGAACAAGTTAAGATACGAGTAATTTGCATTATTTACAGACGCACATGCGTTGCATTACAGTAAACTTGTCAGAAATACACTAACAGTCCTTGACCGAAAATCTCTACTTTCAGTCACATACTTTTGAACAAAACATATCATTCGGAATCTTTCCATAGCAGAAAACATCATTTAATACATTTTTTCAACAATATTATACATAATGATCAAAATTCACGAAGGGGCCTTTTACATACCCATTCACACAAATGGTTGGAACCCCTGCTTTTTCTCTCGCAGGGGTATCTTTTTCAGATTTCTCCGTAATGGTAATTTTTTAATTAATACGAACTATAATTGAATGAAATATTCACTAAACCAACTAGAAGATCGCCACTAATCAAACTCCACTCTATTTAATTAGAAAAATTCTCCACAGGCGAAGTAAATAATTCACGTAAAAGCAAACAAAATTGATTATATTTAAAAACTCACAACGACTATAAAGAACGATAAAGGAACTCGAGAATAGAGGAATTGCACGCAATTGACGATTTTCGATAGCGGAGCGACGAGCGGAAAGTCCGGGTCTCGCGCGCGATTAGGCCGAGGGCCGATGAGATACTAAAATCATCTCGAGTCTCGGGCTAGAAACTGCGAAACCACGTCGCGTGGGCGCGTCTTCGCTTTTGCGGCCCGTGTCCCGTATTATTAGCCCCCGAGGAGATTGTGCTCGCTCGCTTGTCGCGCGTTTTCGCGTTCCGCCGAGGAATTCGTGGAAAGCAGCCATCTATCCTCCGAAAGCGAAATTTCTGTCCGCTGCCAACTCCAGAGGCTCTAATATCCACAACTTCATTTTTTTTTTCATTTAACTTCTTAAACTCGTGACACAGCGAATAGTAATTTGTCCAGTTTTAAAGCATAAATATGAGTGATTATAAATTCTGACGGCAACAAGTGAAAGTATAATTAAGATTAAATTGGCTGAACGAAGTTTGTAATCAACGAACACTACCCGAAAATTTTGATCCGTGTAATCTCGAACTGAGAAGGTTGAATCAATATTATCTCTTGAAGTAGGAAAAATGAATCATTTTGTAGTCTAACAGGAATATGAAAAATATTTAATAATGATAAAATCCTTTAAATTAAATAATTATTGTCCTGTAAATGACCATTTCAATTGGGAAATAAAGTATCTTAAAATAAATAAATTTTGATTCATGTAATTTTAAGAAGAGAATAATTTGAGTGCAACAGGAATATGACACATATTTCATACTTCCCTTAAATTAAATAATTATTGTTCTAAGGATTACCATTTCAAAAATAAAGTAAAAAGTCTTAAAATAAGTACACGTATAGATCGTAAATAAAATACTATTTGATAATGCGTTTTCATTTACACTTAAAAACATATTAAATGAACATGAACCTCGCCTGGTCCTCGTTTCCAAGCCCCACCGTGTATGATAAGAACTACAAGGCACGATTCGCGAGGATAAATTCCTCAAGCTCTATCCGGAGCTAGGCAGCGCCTTAGCACACAGATAGATACAAATGGAGGCAAGAGTGATGATGTCACTTGTCGCGCGGCTTCTACGGGTCGGATGAACGTTCCCCCGGTCCCCGTCCCCAGGCGACGGGTGAACGTGCATCCGAGATCGCATCTGCAATTGTCGTCGGCGTGCGAGGCGATGTAGACCTTTCGAGCAGAACGCGATTCACATAACCCCGGCTTAAAAGTGTG